AATAAAATATTGAGTCTGCGGTACGAGTTTCCGTGAGGCCTGTACTTGTTGTATATAAGGATAGTAGATGATGCTAAATCCGCGCAAATTGATGTATCGCGGAAAAAGTGTGATCACATGCTTTGTGATTATCGGCGGAATGGCGGCTAAAGAAATCTATCTTCGATGGCTCTCGATCGCAATCTCCCGCGACTAATAAAGATTATTTATCGGAATAAAAAATATCGGTCGTTGACAATATATTGCATAAATAATGGAATAGTAAGAGGCTCGCAAGGGGTCGGTCAGGGTGGCTCCTCCGCCACTTATTTCACGCGTTGTAGTGGCCAATAAAATCCTTATTAAAGTAATTCACGGAGCGTAAAGCGGCGGGTTATGCTGCTCGTCACATTCCCCGCGGAGCAAGAGAGAGAGAGAGAGAGAGAGAGAGGAGCGCTTTCCGTGTTCGGCGGGGTGAGTAAGGGGGACGGAGATATTGTGCGTGTAAGGGGCGAGAGGGAGCGTCGTAAAAAACCCAGAGATATCAGGAGTCGAGTCGGAATAATCATGTGAAAAGCATAAAATCAATTATGGTAGCCGCGTGGCGTGGAAAAAGATGACCGTCCGCTTCCACGAAGACGCTCGGAAAAGCTTGGCGACAAGTGTATCCGGGGCGTCAGGAGGGAGGGCAGCGAGCGACTAACTGGGACTCTACGGCGCAGCCGGTTCCGAGCGGATCGAATTGGCTTTTTATAGGGCCGGATTCGCGCGGGCGAGTACTCGCTTCCTCCAGGCCTTCGAGGATTCTGTTCCGCTGCTTGGAGTTTCCGGCACGCGCTCGTAGCACCGCCATTTTCCGCGTGTCGGTACTCGTCTACCTCCGCTTCTTTCTGCCATCGAAATATCGCGTGGGAATTGCAGATGCCGCGCGATGCTCCTCGGGCCCGACTCAACATCCCCGAGCCCCTTAAGCGCAAGCCAATAAATAGTCCTTGCCCGCTCTGGCCACCGCAAGATAAGCTTGACGTATAGCCTGCATACTTAATTCGACATCCCGTCTCTTATCTTCGCTTTAAACGCAGTTCACTTTTCAGTTTGGTGTATCCGTCATTCTCCCTGTCCGATAATTGTACCTGCAATTAAAAGGGCTCGCCCGAGTTTTCATTCAAGGCCATCGGCTCCTCTACTCACCCGTGCGTTCACCAAAGCCCCGAGACACATTGTTCTCGCATGCTATAGGCTTTCATTGTATATATATATATATATATATATATATATA